TAAATCCAAGTGGGGAGTATAACTGCACAAAAGGGCAAAACTTCTTCACTGCAAGGACAGTCAAGCATTGGAACAACTCATTTGTCCAGAGAGGCTCTGGAGTCTCCTAACCTTCTCTGGCTCTATGTAGTTAATACAGTGGGATCAGAGACAAGTTACTGTGACAGCTGTAACAAGTCTGAAACAAACATGTGAATTATAGCAAATGCAGATGTACATTTTGATTGCACTGTGCCCAGTGCAATAATTTTTTTTTTTTTGCCTCCCTTCTGCCTCCATGCATGATTGCTACTGGATCATAGTTATTGTGGCATGAAAACTTGAGAGAGACATCAGGATGAATTTGTGGCATAGCCAGACTTCAGTGAGTTTAGGATATGTTGCTACTGGGACTGTAAAGTGCTCTCCCTGCAGTGTACCTCTGTCTGTCATCAAATACATATCCTCTGACTGCATGCAGAAGACAACTGAAACTGTGATGTATAAAAATTTCAGCTGAAATAGCCTGTTGCTTAGAACCACTAAACATGCCATGGCTTTTTGCTCATCTTGCTGTTGTCTGCTTCAAAGTGTTACTTGTTCTTTCTCTGTTCTTACTTTTTATCTGCATGTTGGTATTGGATTTCCTTTAATGAGTATTTTCACATGCTCATTTGTCAAATATTTTTTTCTTTGTCCTTAAATCCTTTTGTATACTTCTTCCATTGTTTCACTTTGAAGGTTCTTTCCTAGTCTTTAATGTGTCTAGAAGACTGAGCTCTGGGAGCTTTAAGCTGAAGTATTTTAAATACTTTGTATACTTTAGGTAGTACGTGGGCTTTGCTTGAATTCATCATGAAGAGCTCAAAAATTTACCTGTGTAAGTTTTCCCAGTCTCTTTCTAAAGATTCATTCAGCAACACAAGAAAAAAATTACATGTATTTGAATTGCAACTGTACCTCTGTTGTGTTAAATTGAAAGGATTACGTGATATTGGAGACTCATCCATTTATTTCTGGACACTAYCAAAGGGCTTTACAGTCCAAGTTATTACAATGTTAGAAGAAACTCTTCAGTACATTTTTTGTAGGTCAGTCATACCATTAATACATCATCTGAGCTCTCTGCTTGAGAAACACAAATATTTAGAGATCAGTTGGAAAACTGAATAGTACCAGTATGGAATACTTCAGTGCTTCACTTTGAGCTTCATGTCAGTTCTGGGAGAGCAGTTCAGTTGGTGAAACTGAAGTTTCTCTTCTCACATTGCCCCAGGGGAAATTTGGACTGCTAGGTATCWGCGCCAAAGTGTCTGCCAACACTCTGAAAGAAGATGTAGTGGAATGTTTCTGGTTGTTTTTACTCAAAGTAGCTGTAGTTCTTCAAAAACTACAGTCTTGGATTCTGTGGCCCACTGTGCTTACCTTGWGTTTCAGCTCCAGAGAGAAAGGGAATCATATCTTTCTCACTAACTCTTGTTGCATATTGTTTGTGTTCTGGATAGGTGTTATTTCAGGCAAAATTAAGCATCAGGTCACCTGAAAAAGTGGAACTATTGGGGAACCATGTAAAATGGTAAACCATCTCAAAACAGAAATGTATTTTCTGGATTCCTTGTGTGGCTTTCTCCAAATATTAGAAACTCTTCATGGTGGCTGTTGAAAGGGAAACTGTTGCATAGTGTGATACTAAGCTGTATTTCAGGCTTGGTCTGCATAGTTTTTCCCATTCATGTATGTTTTCATAGCATTTTTTTTAGACAGAGCTACCTACTGTAGCCATGAAAAATGTATTTCAATGAAGTCTAGTTCACGAAACCTCCATATGGAAAACTCAGCAAATTGACTCTTCTACAAGCATCTGCTATAACTTGTTAAATGTAAAGAGGAGCTGAAGCCTGTTTCTGGAGTATGGTAAAGGACATATCTCCCATTATTGCCTTTGGGAAAATAAATAATATTTTGTATTCTTAACCACAGGCAATAAGGAATGGTCAAATTTTTGGTAGAGAAAGTTTAGTTGTAAAAGAAAATTCAGTGAGATGGATTAAGCTAGTCAAAGTAAAAAGTACAAAATGCGGGATTCAGAAAAGATCAGTAATTTAACTTGTGTATTCCCTCAATCTATTTATTGCTCAAAGAACAACTAGTTTCTTGTAAGGAAAAGTAAAATCGTGTGTTGAAATACTAAGTTAAAGTGCCAAGCTCACTTGGTAGAGACTGTTGAGACATGAGGGTAGTGCTGTTTATTGCTAGCTTAAATAATGAAGCTTGTTTTATTGTCCATAACTTAGATTTGAAARTCTGTGCAGCAGCACATGCATCAGTCTGTTAAACGTGAGCTACAGATAATAACAATCTCCTGATCTAAGGCATTAACTCTGTGTAAGAAGTTAAATAGTAGAGCAAGTGTTCTGCCTGTGGAGTGTCCTCCTGAGTGATGCCTGGTGTCCTTGTAAGACTCTTGCTGCATTTGGTGAAAGGCAACCTGCCTGATGAACTTCATCATCAATTAATATTATATCATTGTACTATAGAGGCTTTTTTATATTAAATGAAACTTCTACAAAAATACTGAGTAATTTCATTGCCCTTTTCATTTGCAGCTCATCATTACTGTCTAGTGTCCAAACTTAATGGAGTTAAGAAATATCAACAAAGATTTTTGTCCAGAACAGCATATTAGAAATTAATTTTTAAAGTCTTTCCATTGCATGTTTTTCCTTGTAATTTTGGACCTGTAATCCCAGACTTAGATATTTAAGTCTCTGTTTAGCTAAGAGAAGTGGTAAATGAATTTTGTTTTTTTTTTTTTTATTTTATTATTTGTTCGTTTGTTTCATTTTCAAAATCCCGTTGGTTTGCAAATATAACTTAGTTTGAAACAATTATCTTCTACTTCAGTTCTGTGGTCTTGCATACATAAATTTACTAAAGGTCAGAAAATACCTTTTTTTAAATGATCTTATTTTGAAAATACAGTAGATGCAGAAACAGTAAAATAGATCWCTTTCTTGTTTTTATGTAGGTATGGTTTTCTTCTTAAAAAAAAAATCAAAAGTTCAAATTAACTTATTAATAGGTCTTTCTTTTATATGGAAAACTTTCCTCCTCCTGATTTGGAAATGTGACCCGCAAGATCACAATACAGATTTTTTTTTATTTATTTTTTTTTTTAATGCTAGATTAAGCATTTTTTTTTCCCAATTATTAAAACGCATTGTCACTCACCTCTYTTATCCCAGTAGTGTAGTCTTTTCTTTTTTGGTTCTTTGACTCTAAATTTTCTTTTCACCTGTAAATGTGTGATTTAGGTTTCTTCTGCTTAGAGAAATCAGGATTTCTGATGCTTGACTAACAGAAGAGAACGTGACATTAAGGATGGAGAGTTATGAATATCCAGAACTCAAAAAGCTGACTGCTTGCTTATGACTTGAAATGTGGTAGCAAACTTCTAATGTGCATAAAAATATTTCTCAGATTATTTCACTCTCATCAGTAGTTACATTGAGCTTTAAGGGAGCAGTAACTAAGTGAACTAAACAATAGAGCTATGTAAAAATGATGTTGAATGTCTGTGTGTGTCTACATGGGAATTTCTGGAAAAGTCTTTAAAGACCTTTATATGGATCGAGGTCTATGAAAAATTAGCCCAGGGATGCTAAACAGGCTTAATTATTTGAATTCAGCCCTAGGACTAAGAAACAGGAAAATCTGAGTCTTTATGAAATTCTAAAACTTAATTTTGTATAACTGATTCCAACTATATTTTGTCACCTTGTAGAATGTCTTGATAGCAGTCTACTGATGTATGTAGTTAATAACTGTAACATTTTTATATATCTTTCTATATGTGTGTGTATATGTGTAATGTATGTGTATGTGTGTGATACACACATCAGATGTGCATATCAGATAATTCCCATGCAGTCTGATTTCTACGAGTGCCTTGAATTATTTTATTGACAAGCATTGTGCATTGCAAACTGTGACTTGTGATAAATTTTATGGGACAAAACAGTTTCTTCCAGTAGGCTGTTTTGCTTGAATGGCAGGTGGCACATGTGGTGCATTGCTTAAAAACAACCAGAAACCTATTTTGAGCTTGACTTCTGGACTGGGATCTTGATTTCTGGACACTATGCTCCAAAGCTGTCATTACACACAGTAGAAAGAATAATCTGCATAGTATGTTAAGAAAAAATGATGAAGATAGAATATATTTGCCTTGGCTAGTGGATGTTCTGTTGTCTATGGGTATAATACAGTGGGCTTTGATCTTGTCACCAGCTGTGACCCTGGTCAGCATGCTCAGTGAGAATCTTCACAGAAAAATGGGCACCTTCCAGATTTCAGCTGCAKTTTTTTGTTTGTACACTGTCTTATGTACATCTGTTCTATTTCTTAAATTTAACTTCCTGAAAGTTTCKATCTTTACAGTTAAAGAGAAAAAACTGCATGAAAAACCTTGTAATGACACATATAAGCTGTAAATCCTTGGGGTTTTTTTTGCTTCTATTTGATCAAGATTTCTGTAACAGTTTCCTCTGCTTTTTCMAATTTATGTAAATAGTTTATATGGGTCTTTATAAATAATATTRTCTTGTTACTGAAAGTGTATACATTTGATACATGCTGTCTTGGACCTCTCCATGGTGACAAAATGTCTATCTGCTTCATTATACTAAGAGGAACGTAGAATTGRTAGGGAATTGAATTTACACTGCTGATTCTGTATTTTTAGCTTTCATGCTTATGCAGGATGGAGTTCTGACTTAGTGATTGGCTCACACTGCAGAGATTCAAAATCTTTCATAAAATAGGTAATATGGTCTGTTGGGGGAAACCAGAAAATGTAATTAGTCCATGGTAAATTTACTATTGGACCATGTCTCCGCTAATGGACCTTTCTGGTCTTTAAAATCAGCTTGTTACAGCACTGGGATTCCAACTCAAAGTGGTTGCATTGCATTTCTGTGRCATTTGTAATTTAACACAACTTTTTCTTTTTCTTTCCAAAGGCGACTAAACAGAAATAACCTCCAGTTGCTTTCTGAACTGCTCTTTCTGGGGACACCGAAGTTATACAGGCTGTAAGTAGGCGTGRCCCAATAAGTGTTGTTCGGGAAAATTTGGATTTTGTCTGTTATTGTGTCTTGCATTTGGTTTTTTGTCTTTTGCCTCAAACAGGGCTAAAATGTGTCTTGGAACATTGGTGTTTTGTTTAAGCTGAGTACTTTTTGACTGCTTTGCAAGATTTTTTTWAAATTTTATTTTAAATCTAGGTCAGATACTGGTACTTGTATGAGATTACTGCCATTGATTCCCACTTCTGTAAAGAAGTTTTGCTGAAAGAATTCTTTGACTTACCTTTTCTCTTCTTTGTGGTTTTTTTTTTTTGTTAATTGTTTCTATAGTAAAGCAAATAAAAAGTGCCTGTGGAGGTTCTGACCCAGGGATGCAGCACTGTAAAAGCAGTTTGTTTTTGTGATGGTCTGCTTTTGGGACTGTACACACTTAGCCAGAAAAAAATATGGCACTGTCAAATGCTAGGTCTGTAGAGAAGTCTCTCCTCTGTCCCTTCACAGAGAAAATAAAGGTAGTAACTCAAGCTCTGGAAAGAAAAAAACTATAAAATGCTTTACCTTAAATAAAAGTGATAACAGATTGAGTAACAAGTTTTTGTTTTGACTGTATTACTTGGTTTGATAATGTTTTACTCTTGGCAATATTTGAATATATGTTTTTTGGTACATTTTCCTTTCTAAGAGGCCACTTAATTGTTGCAGTTGAAATGTGGAATAAAGTTTAGATTCTGGTTAATATGAACAAAATAAATTTGAAGATACCTTAAAGTTTCAGTGTGTGCTATGGAAGGGATAAAACATGACATGCTTAAGTAAGTTCTGGAAAGGTTGTACCACTTCAGCCTGTTTTATTTAGATATGTGTGTGATACATTTTGTTAGACTCCAGGTGAGATTTCTGCAGTTGAAATTGGTGGTAAATACTGGGTTTCATCAATCGTGTGCTTGGAAAAATAAGGGTGAAGGTGGAGGAAAGCTGGGTTCCTCTTGCTTCCAACTTTAGTATACAGAATTATCTTGGAGAATGAATTTGATATTGAAGCTTTTATTTTTAGGAGTTGTTTTTTATTTTACTATTGTGAAATAATAGTTCTTTTCTCCCTTCTTRTTGCAATATATAGTGGGGAACTGAAAGTTACTCATTGTAAATATTTAACTTTATGTATTTTGTTTAATTCCTTTGCTTTGGATTTATGCTTTGTTTCCAGAATTTTTCCTGTAGATGTAATGAGTTGTTAAATGATTAGGCCAGAAAAGTGCTGAAGGCTTTTGTCCTGACAAAGAAAAATATTTTGCCCTGCTATAATATTATAATCTATTCAAATGCGGTATTATAGATCAACAGTTGTCCCTTATAATTTTCATCAGCCGGGATAAAGACATTACTTCTACTGGGAAGGAAATGAAAGGGATTTATGACCATTTTATTATTTTACCTATAGTATAATGGCTGCTACCTAGATTAATATAAAATACAAATGAGCAATACTTTGCAGGCAAAAAATGGATTCACACCAGGCAAAATCATATTTGAATATCTTTATTTCAGAATTGTGTATTTGATAGATGCTAGTCTTTAATCTATAATGTCCATTGACACAAAGCACACAACTGCTCATAGCATATATGGAGGAAAGTAAGAGATCYCTGGCTTCACAGTATTAAATTTCCTCTGCCTAAGGGTTATTGTTGATCAGACCATGAAAGTGAATGTCTGGTTATAATGTATTAATGTTTAAAAGAAAATATGAATGATRGTAAAATCTACAGTTGCTTAGCACTAAATTTGTAATTTAAAAAATGTCAGGCCAACAAAGGCATTCATGTTAGTTAAATGTTTGTGGTCAGTTTTTAGATAATATGTAGTTTGTTCCCTTTGAAGAGTATAAAGTGATTTGGTATTTTACATGTATCATTGTATATGCTTAGATGCATTTGCATCCAAATAAATATTTTTCTAAGGAGAATTAAAGTTTTCTAAACAAGATCAGTAATATATGTATTTTGCTTTGGGTTTAGTATTTATTTTTGGCATTGAACAGCTAATCAAACAATGTGTGTACTGCAAGGTTTCAACATACTATTGAGCTTCTGTGAATAATAATTACCATTTGACCCTTGGCTGTAAATGAGATGCCAGGTGAAGAAGCACATATGCTTGTTGTGTAGGCTAAATGCAATATAAAAGAAAGAGGTTACACTGTATATGAATTATGATTCGACACAGTTGGTTGCCGCCAGCGGCCGGCTATGCTTTCCCTTTGCTGTCTGCTCCAATTTCTCTTTGGACGGGTTGAGAGAGCGCTGCGTGTTCAGGTCAAGATGTTTGCCTAGAAATAGTAGTACAGTTGCAGCTGTGTTTGCTGGAGCAGGAGACTAGTTTAAATAGCATTACCATTTATCCAGTCCATTAACAGAACTCTGTAAAATAATACCAACTCTGCATAAACTACAGGACAGTGTAATAAAATTACAAGCACTTGTTGACAGATGGGAAGTGTAAGTAAAGGAAAGCAATAGGTTGAGAATTTAAAAGAGACAGTGCATTATTTTCTGTGTCTAAAGACACTTAATTTCAAAGGTGGTTAAATTATTTTTTCAGGTTACTTTCTTTCCAGTTTAGCAACCTTCCAAGAACTCTCCTGGAACTAGTTAAAATGGATAATTTTAGTCAGAACAGAAGCTGATTTTCCCATTAAGAGCTATCTACAAAGGTGTGTTGACATAAATATTTCAGTAGGAAGTAGTCAATGCTAAAAATAGTATGAAGAATGCTGTAGGGTATATTAATCTTACCTTAAAAGCAATCTCTCAAAGCGCAATGTACATGAACCTCTGTTTTGATGTGATACCATTAAAAGAAATGTGCTGTTGTAAATCCCCTGGGATAATAAATTAAGTTCTTGCTCAACAAGTAGTATTCCTGCAAGGAGGAGATGGATTCTTTGGTGACCCGTATGCCCACTCTCACAGYTGTGCAGTGTCAGGGATGGTACCTTAGCACACAGGGCTACTACAGCCTAGTGAGTGCTTATCTGAGGCAAATAGATTTTGACTGCTTACTTTGGCTGGTTAGATCACAGTTCATTGATTGCTGTTTGCTGCAGGATACCGAGTGCTGGACCCAAGCTGTTTGAAAAATCGGTTTTAAAAGATACCTTTATTAATCAGTGGCATGTAAAGGTTATTGAATTACATGCACAAAGCTTGTCCCTTTTGATTTACATTTCTTGTGCTTGGAATGTGGTAAAGTTTCCTTACTGACTAGTATCTGTCATATAAGTTAGGCAACGTTGGCTTTGAAAAAAAAAATCAATCTTTGTAGTGAATGTGGTGTGATACACGTTTTTCTTCTAGTATGTGCATTTGAAGGTACATGCTGTGAATGCTTCTCCTCTACAGGGGAAAAAACCCAGAACTTGGTAATATAGTCTGATTAATAAACATCACTTTTGAGATGTCTGTTAGTCACTAAAAAACCCCTCCGAATAGCAAATAATTACAGGGGGCAAAAAAAAACTTTAAAAGATTACCTTAGGCCAGAACAGCAGCAGCAGCAACAACAACAAAACACGCCGTGTGGGGGGCCCTTGCAAAAATTCCTCCTGAATTAATTTCTGCCAGCTATGATTAAAGTGTGTGGTACTAGATGTGTCAGACACCATAGTTCTCTGCTTCATTTTACTCTTGGCCTCTTTGGCCCCTGCCACAATAAATCCCACAATGGTTCGGCAGGAATTGCAGGTTRCAGTTGCCAGGGTTACCGTTGTCCGGCCGGACCGACAATCATTACTCATCCCGGCCGGCAGCCCCAGCCCCGGCCGCTCCGGGAGCTCGGGGAGCTTCTGCCGGGGCTGCTGCTGGAGGTGCCCTTTGCATCACTTGCTGAGCATTGTTTTGCTTTTACCTTTGGCAAGAGAAAAAAAAAAAAAAAAAAAAAAAAAAAAAAAAAAAAAAAAAAAAAAAAAAAAAAAAAAAAAAAAGCAAAACAAACCACATCAGGAAGGAAAGAAAGGTAATAAGATGGTACAAGCAAGATGCTAGAACAAGGGCTTTTAAATATTTTTAAGTGCTGGACTAACCTATTGTTACATCAATACATAGGACTAACCTATTGTTACATAAATTACATCTTAACCCATTGTTATGGTGTAGTTTATGGGTTTGTCATATTCCTTTTAACAGTAATCATGGTAAGTGAGACTCTGGTCATAATTTTGTAAAAAAGACACCTTCGATCTGAATCCATTTTAACAACTCAATAAAGGAATCACTCATTAGAAAAATGCTCCTTATCTCAAGGCYTCTGAAATATTCCACTGCAAACACCTGCTCTGGGTGTTAAATCCAATGAGGAGCAAAATGAGTTTCCCCTTTCCAAAAAACAATATTGAAGATTTKTTCTCCTTTTCAAAGTAGAGTGTTAACAGAACTGCTGTCAGGTAAGTGCAGTGGGTTGGTTTCCACTGCTGTATGTGCTGCAGTAACAGTACAGTGTGTTCCACTTTATTGCAGATGTGGGCTGGATGGACTACAATTTAACAAAGATTTATTTGAACATGAATTATGAAGCCACCTTGTTACTATATCCTCCCCAGGATAGCATTTTGAGGTATTTTAGCCACTTATTTGGGTGATTATTATTACGATTTTTTATGGTATATTCTAGCAGCATGCACACAAAGCAGCTCCATTTTTTTTTTTAATGTGATAGAATTAAATCTTACCATTTTAGAGCTAAATGGAAACAAGTCTTCCCTTCATTGTATCAATCTGGCTTGTGTTTTGACTTGTATTTTATTACCACAGTTGCTTTGTTCAAGTACAAGAATGAATTGTTTTATCTAGACAATCAAGTGTCGTTGGCAAGAATATACCAATTCTACTGCTAGGCAGTTTTTTAAATACTATCATTGTTAGCATTACTCTTGAACTGTGACTACAGTTCTTAGAACATAACTATATTTTGAAATTATTTAGTGAAGAAATACTGCATATTAGTATAGA